AGCAGCAGGCTGCTGATCTGTTGGGAAAAGGATGTTTTTGACCCAAAATTGGAAAAGCCTTTACTGTTTATAAAAACATAAACTTGAAACACTGAAGGAAAAAGGAAATGTATTCAATCATTTAGTTATGATTGCAGGTAATGGAAAAACAACAAAACACTTGGCTTAAATATTGAAGTGTTGAGACTGACTGTCATTTATTATAGGCGTCTGAAGATGCTCCTAATCTGAATTGTAGCTTCCTCATTTGGAAAACGGGGTTACTATTACTCAAGGCTGTGTTGGAAATTAAATACAGTAATGATTTAGATGGCTTTGTAAACCTTAAGGTACTATGTAAATCTTGAATAGTTTTCTTGTTGCTTTCATCTTGGGTAATAGTTGTAAATTTGCATATTATAAAAATATGGGTTTCCCAGTGGTAAGTTTCCTAGAATCACTTTTCTTAAACTATCCATTGATAGTTTCTCAGAATTTTGCAGGTTAGACTGGCATTCTTACCTGTCAGGGGCAGACAGACTATCTAACAAATGCATTGTGTGGTGATAGAGAATACCTAGGGGGCGAGCCTAATTGGGACCTGGGAGTGTCAGGGAGTACTTCCTGGAGGAAGTGACAGTGGAGTCTAAACTCAGACCTAAAGGGTGAGTAAAGTTAGCCAGGGAAAGTACTGTTGTTGTTAAGTGCCATGGAGTGGTTTCCAACTTATAGTGACCCCGTATAGGGTTTCTGAGGAACGGCTATTAAGTTTGAACTGCCGACCTTTCAGTTCAAACCGACCTTATGGTCGGTCCAGTGCTTATTCTACAGTGCTACAAGTATTAGGGGGTGGAATAAGCTGATGAGAGAAAGCAGGAGAGAATAGTGATCAGGACTGAGAGAAGCTTCATTTGGCTGCTGGCTCTGTGATTCTTTATTTCAGGAATTAGCTTAGATCTGCTAAAAGTGAGTGCATGCGGTAATTAGTGTCTCTTTTGGTATTAAATTTTATTATAGAAATGATCAGTTAGCATCCCTTAATAATAACACCTGAATAGCATTTATTTATTGGTTAGTTAACATCTTTTTTGGTGGTTGGTGGTTATGTGCCATGAAGTCGGTTCTGACTCATAGCGACCCGGTACAGAGTTTCCGAAGCTGTAAATTTCAGGATAGTACAAAGAGTGTTAGAAAATAGGTAAAACAAGAGGATGTTATGTCTGATAGCATTAAGATCTCTGCTACAGTTTCAAAGTTTTTAGCTAACTGGTTCTTTTTATATTCCAAAATAAGCTCCCCAAAATACTCATCCAGTGTGTCAGTAATTCAAGCTCCCCAGCTGCTCCTCAGAAACCCTATACTGGGTTGCTATGGGTCGGAATCGACTCGACGGCACTTAACAACAACAACAACTATAATTTACGTATAAACACAGTCCCAAAATAATATGATGGCTTCCTGCCTGTAAAACAACAACAACAAAAATAATTGAGAATATTTCAGTATGTAACTGCTTGGATGTGACTACACCAAAAAGCTTAACAAAGTGGTGGTATGAATGCAAGAGCTGCAGATTAGGAATGATACAGATGTGTGGCATTGACATCTCACATACCATCAGTACTACTCTGTTGGTTGTCACACTTTCCAAAATGAATTACTTTTGTTAAAAAAAAAAAAAAAAAAAAAAAAACTACCTTTAGTTTACAGGGCAAATAACAGTTGTGAAGTTTTCAATTTTCTTTAAAACAGAAACAACAAAAAAAATGCTTTCTGCCCATTTGTAAAACCCTGGGTAGAAATTTCCAAACATTCTCAAACTCCTGAAATGCTCCAGGGGACACAACAAGGCCTCCACCCCCACCTTTGAGAACCAGTGCCCTATAGAACCATGTAGTATTCTAATGTTCTTGATTAAAATGACACTGCTGACCATTTGAAAGAGATCCATATTTGTGTCCGTTCCAAAGAGAGATGACCCAGAAAAATACGGAAATCATAGAACAATATCATTAAAATCAAATGCAAGTAAAGTTTTGCTGAAGATAATTCAAAAACAACTGCAACAATACATTGACAGGGAACTGCTAGAAATTCAGGCCAAATTCAGAAGAGGAAGTGGAACCAGGGATATCATTATTGATGTCAGATGCATCTTGGCAGAAAGCAGAGAATACCAGAAAGAGGTTTACTTGTGCTTTATTTGATTTATTTAAAGTCATTTGTGTGGATCATGATGAACTATGGATAACATTGTGAAGGATGGGTATTCTAGAATAATTGTGCTCATAAGGGATACTGAATGGTTTAAAATTAGGAAAAGTATACGCCAGTGTTATATTGTTTCACCAATACTTATTCAGTCTGTGTGCTGAGCAAATAATCCAGGGTGCTGGATTATGTGAAGAAGAATGTGACATCAGGATTGGAGGAAGATGACTAACAATTTGTGATATGCAGATGATACAACCTTGCTTGCTGAATGGGAAGAGGACTTAAAATACTTACTGATGAAGATCGAAGACTCCAGCCTTCCGTAAGGATTGCACCTCGATGTAAAGAAAATAAAAATCTTCACAAATGGACCAATAAACAACATCATGCTAAATGGAGAAAAGATTGAAGTTGTTTAAGACTTCAGTTAGCTTGGATCCACAATAAACAGTCATGGAAACGACAGTCAAGAAATCAAATGACGCATTCCATTAGGAAAATCTGCTGTACAAGAAAGACCTCTTAAAAGTGTTCTTTGAACAGAGAATGAGGAAGACCATAGAAGAATTGCTACATCTGAGGTATGGTGTTAGAGAAGAATATTGGAAGTACCATGGACTGCCTGAAGAGTAAACAAATCTGTAATGGAAGAAGTGCAGCCAGATGCTCCTTAGAGGCCAAGATGACAAGACTTTGTCTCACATACTTTGGGCAAGTTACCAGGAAGGAACCAGTCTATGGAGAAGGACTTGGTAAAATGGAGAGTGGATGCAAAAAAGGAAGACCCACAACAAGATGGATTGGCACAATGGCAGCAGCAATGGGCTCAAGCGTAACAGTTGTTGAGGATGGTACAGAATTGGTCAGTGTTTTGTTCTGTTGTGCACAGGGTTGTTATGAGTAGGAACCGACTCAACAGTACCTAACAACAACTGACCCATTAAAGTATGTATTTTTAAAGCATTGTATTGATAGTACTGGGTTACTTTGGGTCTTTTTTTTTTTTTTCTGGTTCTCCAGATGTCATTTGGAACCAATCACAAATTTGTGTGCTTCACTGATGTTGTTAAGTGCAGTTGAGTGTATTCTGACTCTTAGCAACCCTGTTTATGTTTTTGTAGGCTGTAATTCTTTGAGCAGAAAGCCTCAGCTTTCTCCCATGGAGTGGCTGGTGGGGTTTAACTGCCAGCCTTGTAGTTTGCAGTCCAGTACTTATCCTACAGAGGGTTCTGCTGTTGATGAAGTAAAGATTGTGTATATCCATAATAAAAAATATTGGCAAATAGGTGATAAATTTAAAAGATTTTAGCCTTCTTAAAAGATAATTGACTGCTTAAGTAGAGATGGGTAACATTATGTTACGTTGTTTCTAACATAAAAATAATATGTGTGACAAGAACAGCAAAAAGAATGGATAGGGAAATGGAAGTATTCTTTTACAAAGCTTGTACTATTCATGGTAAAACGGATAATATTACTTGGAGATAGAGATAAATGAAAAGATGCATATTGGAAAATCTAAAGCAAATACAAAATTAAAAAACAAAACCCAAAAAGGTACAGCTAATAAAGCCATATCCAATACAAACCCTTGCCATCGAGTAGTGTAACGCTACCCTGACTCCATTTTTGAATCATCCGTAGCCCCTGCATGTTCAAATCCTTTCTGAGTGGAAAACTTTTAAGTAGGAACTTTTTCAGTTGCACCTCCCCTCGCCCTCCTAACTAACCATAGCTTGTTTTTGCTTCTGTCAAACAGCTGATGCATACATCCAACAGTCCCAGCAGATGAACCCCTAGCCATACCCTAATGGCTTATGCATATACCCTACCCCTGGTTTGTGCAAGATTATGTCAGATTGCCTATGTATAAATACTCCTTGAAAAATTGGGTCAGGGCTGCAAGTCATTCCCACTTTTAGGGAGGTTGTATTAGCTGGCCAGCTAATACAGGCTTCCTTGCTGGTCCTGAGAGTCTTGAGTGGTCATCTGGGTAAATTGAGACACAACAGTAGATTCTGACTCAGTAATACCACATAGAACAAAGTAGAACTGACCCTTATGGTTTCCCAGTCTGCCCATAAATCCTACAGAAGTCAACTGCCACATCTTTCTCCCTTGGAGCTACTGGTGTGGTTGAACCACCAACCTTTTGGTTAGCCATTTAAACATTGTGCCACCAGGTCTCCATAATAAGATGTTGTTGTTGTTGTTGTTAACTGTCTTCGAGTTGGTTCCAACTCGTAGTGACCCTGTATCGGGCTTCTAAGGAGCAGCATTTACAGTTCAAACTGATTTTCCAGTGTACGTGCTACATGAGGAATCCAGAAAGACAATAAAGGTGGTCAAATGAAATCATTCAAAGAATAGTCCAAAGAAGTCAGAGAAAGAGAAAATAGGGAACAAAGCTTTGGTTCCTGAAACAAGGTCAAATATACTTCTGTTCTGTGGGCTGGTTGCTTATATTTCATGTGGCCTATATTCCTTTATATTCAAAGGACTGGTGCTCTTTTTAAAAGAATTCGATTTTCTTTGTAGTGGAAATGTTTTGCCAGACCTCAGGATGTTTCCCACTCCCTCCTCATTGTCCCTGTCTCCTGTTGTTCAGCCCCGTGGTCACTAGCTGAACCCTGCCCCAGCTCTTTGGTATTCAAAGTAAAAAAGGGCCACGGGCTTTCACTTTGTCATAAACTTCTGTATTTGCCAACCCAAGATGTTGCATAATAAAAATAAACTGAAATTGATTTGAATTGTTCTGTAATATTTCAACATACTTTATATATCTTTTTCTCTTTCCCCGATTTCAGAGACATGAAAAATGCTGTAATTGGAAACAACAAACAGAAAGCCAACCTCATTGTTTTAGGAGCTGTTCCAAGGTATGTTTGCTGTCACCCTCTTTTCTACCACTTAGATAGCATTTCTGCTCTCAACCATAAGACCCATGTTTTTCTGTATTGTTTGTTCTATTTTAGAAAGTCTTTTAATTTTTAAAAATCGTGCCTTGAGGTATTGGAAGTACCTCTTAAAGATATTAAAGTGCTGAGAATAGAAACTATAAGGTGAATGCTTTCTCTTTTGGAAATTCAGGAAGGTCATTGAACCTGTACTAAAGGGCGTGCACAAACATGAGACGTTCTCCATTCTTTCAGAGCCCTGGCACTTTTTTTTGTTTCGTTTAAACTTTTCATTGTGAATTGATTGAAAGATTTACAGATAAGATCATCAGTTTTACATTCAATAGATCATACACTTTGTTTCATCTCAATGATTGCAATCCCTTCCAGGCAACAACAGTCTCTTTCTGACCAGTAAGCCTGGTTTAATTTTTATTTTTAATAATTTTGAGTTCCACATATTTTGCAGCTCTTTTCGGGACCTTCTAATGTGATCCCTTTCAAAGTATTTGGTAGCAGGTATGCCCTGACAGTTTTTTGTAATCAGATTAATAATGATTTTTTAAAAAGATTTCTTCCTTTCTAAGTTTAAAAGAAAAAAAGTTTTCTTTCAAAAATTTCTTCTGATAACCTACTAAGCTTCATTTTGGCAGGTAGTGCCAATTAAAGAATGTCCTCATTGCATTGCTACTCAGAACTAGTCTTTGTGTACAATTGCTGTAAATTTTTCACTCAGAAGTTTTAGTGTTTTGAATTTTTTCTCTTATATGTTTCTTATTTTATGTCTTTTGATATCAGATTAATCGCTTTAATGGTTTTAACATCAAAATACAAGGAGGTTTCAAAAAGTGTATGGAAAAATTTAATTAAAAAGTAATGTAATTTTCCCTCAAATTGAAACCCCCTTGTATATATGAGCTTTAGTTACTATAAAGCTCTCAGCGTTTCTTAGGGGATTGTTGTTGTTAAGTGCCATCAGGTCAGTTCTGAGTCACAACGACCCTGTTATAGGGCTTCCAAGAAGCAGCTGGCGGGTTTAAACTGCCGATCTTGTGATTTGCAATTCAGTGCTGAACTGGACTCCAGCGCCCCACCAAGAGTACTTTCTTTTCTTTTTTAAAATTTTTATTGTGAATTATGTGATAGTTTATATGAGAGAACAGTAGCTTTACATTCATCCTGTCATATTTCATTTCTTTGCAATGGTTACAGTCCCCTCCATGCAGTATCAAACAACCAAAGAGTACATACACCCCACAAGCCTGCCCCTGACCATCAGCACACAGTGTCTCTGCCTTCATCTCTGGCGTCATTGCTACTCTGGGTAGGGTCCCACACTCCACTCTTCTCCCTTGATGATTCCAGGGACCTCTGCTCCTGGACTGCAAAGTCTGTCACTCCCCTCCTTTTGCTACAAAATGTCCACCTTTACATTTCCAACACTCATAGTCAGTCCTGATAGCAGTTATCAGTGCTACCATAAGAGTCCTATCCCCATCTCCTCTCCTTTTCATCAGCCCCATCCAGACAGATTGGAAACCACTCAGTGGAGATCAGGAGTACTTTCTTAAGGGATTAGTGTTTAATATATACATCAATACGCACACTCCTCGCTTACTGGCATGGTTAGGTTCCAAGACTAGGTTGTTATGGGGAAATCAATGTTATGTAAAAATAGATGATGGCCACATTAGGTCACAAAATGGAGGCTGACTATATCATTGCATAGATGCCAGATTATATCATTACATACCTGGTAAACCACTGAGGATCATGGCCTGGCTAAGGTGACTCATAACTTGAATTGTCACAGCCAGTATTATTCTCACCTTACGCCTGAGTTTTTGTTACTGCCAAATGTACATATTAATGCGCAAACTAGTTGAATAGTAAATTTTTTGCTATTGTCAAAAATGGGAAATGTCAGTATTATGGGGGAATATATTGATAGCCTCTGTCTGTCACGTTACTTTTCGTTATTTTAAGTTTTTTATTCTTTCCTGTGAATCAAATTCCTTCTTTTTAGGTTGTTGTACTTACTTCAGCAAGAAACCTCAAGCACAGAGCTAAAAACTGAATGTGCAGTGGTATTGGGAAGTCTTGCTATGGGTACTGAAAACAATGTCAAGTCTCTATTGGACTGCCATATTATCCCTGCCTTACTGCAAGGTAGGTAGGGAAACCATTTTTGTACAAGTAAAGATTAAAATCAGTTTTCAGTATTTTAATTACTTTAAAAATACTTCATAAAGTTGAAAGGAAGAGTTCCAAATCTGATTTCTTTCAACAGGACTCCTGTCTTCAGACCTGAAGTTTATTGAAGCTTGCCTCCGGTGCCTGCGCACTATCTTCACGAGCCCTGTCACTCCCGAGGAGCTTCTGTACACAGTGAGTTGTGAATCTTTGGAGGCATCAGTTACGCCTCAAATAGGCCCTCATTTACTTGGCTTCTCAGAACACAGCATTGCTGTGTCGTGTTTCAGAAAGGTCTCAAGTATGAGTTCTTATTTTATGAATATCAAATGGGCTAGGCTGTGTAAAGAAGTCATGGACTTTGATGAATTTACAAGCTATTAAAGAAGTCCCAGTTTTACATCTCTCTGTGTGTACAAATTAAGGCAGTGTGTTCAATGCTATGTGAGCCTGCAGTGTTCAGCTCACTTTAGGTGAGAGTCCAGCAGAGTAGACTTTACAGAGAACCTAGAATTTGACCTAGGTCTTAAATAATCTAGTAAATTTAGAGAAGTGGAGAAGAAGGATGCCTTTTTAGGAAGGATCTGTTTGAGAAAGACTATGCAGGATGGTGGGCTGAATACTTGTCTAATGGAGGGAGGGCATCAGAAGTAGCATTCCACTGGAGAGATGGACTAGAACCAGTTTGCAAGAAGCTTTCTTTATGGTTAAGAATCAGAGGATAAGTCTGAGAGAATCCAGAGATCTTCAGAGTCATTCAGTGGTTTGAAAGCCTCAAGGATTATAAGGATGTCCTTTGATCTCTTGATCTCATGGGACTTTTTTTCTTTCATTTTCTTTGTGGGATTGTCTACTTTGGTCAATCTGTGCTCATTATATTATGTGCACATTCGATTCTGTTAGTAATTCCCCGTCCTTTCCCGCCTCTCCCGCCTCATCCCTGATAACCACCAGTGAACATTGGTCTGCGCATATATATCTATTCCTGTCTTTTTATAAAAATAGGATCTTGCAATATTTGTTTTCATATGATTGACTTCTTTCATTTAGCAGTATATCCACCAGATTCATCCATGGTATAATATGTGTCAGGGACTCATCACTTTTCTTTATGATTGTGTAAGAATTCCATTGAGTATATGTACTACGTTTTGCTTATCCATTCATTTGTTGAAAAGCAGTTAAGGCTGTTTCCATTTTTTGCTTTTGTGAATAGTGTTGCAGTAAAATAGGTGTGTAAAAGTCTGTCAATGTCTCTGTTTCTACACCTCTAGGGTATATACCAAGGAAAAAATAAATCACAACCAGGATTTATTTTTTTAAAAAAAGACTAATATAGAAACTAGAGTACATTCCATTTATAGAACTCTGGTAGCGTAGTGGTTACAAATCAGTCTGCTCCTGTCACGGTCAGCAGTTCGAAACTACCAGCTGCTTCACAGGAGAAAAATGAGGCTTTCTGCTCCCATAAAGATATACAGCCTCAGAAACACTGTACAGAGTCTCTATGAGTCAGAACCGACTCCACAGCACTTAACAACAACAACAGGAGTAGTATTGCTGGATCTTAAGCTATTTCTATTTTTAATGTTTTGAGGACATGCCATACCATTTTCCATAGTGATTTTAATGATTACATGGGACTTTCTTAATGAAGATGATCCAGGACAACATTTTTGAGTACTTTTTATCCATAGTCAGTTGTAAAAAATGCATTTTACATTGCCACACTATGCACATGTGTCAATTTATGTGTGCCTGTATGTATCTTGGAACAAGTTAAACAAAACAGTTCCATAAATGGAATGTACTCTAGTTTCTATATTAGTCTTTTTTTAAAGAAATAAATCCCGGTTGTGATTCGCTAAGCTAACACAAAGGATCACATTGTCAAATTAGACACACATGAATCTGAGATCTTATCCAGAATTAAGCTTTGCTTATGCAGAATCAAGTTTAGCTTAACCCCTGCTCCTAACCCTAGTCCTGACCATAATCCCGATACTACACGAAACTCTAGATCTAGCTATAGTCCTAAACCTAACTCCTTATTCCTGTACCCACCCCACCTCTCACCCCCCAAAAAGAATATAAGCAATCAAGAGACATAGGCAGAGCAAGTATCAAGTGGGGAGAGGGGCTATTTCACCTGGTTTCCCTAGTCCTTCCTTCATATCGGACTCATGCTGCTCTTGTCCAGGATGAGGCATAAGGTCTGTAAGTGAAACTTGTGGCTCACCTCACACAGCAAGGAATGTCTAAATTATGAAATAGCTCGATTTTATAATTCAGAGATTTATGTTGTTTGACATTCTTCAAAGAGTTATGCCTCATAAACCCGTAGATTGTTTACTGCAGTGGGTCTCAAACTTGAGCATGCACCAGAATTCCTTAAAGGTGCGTGATAAATCACAGACTGCTGGTCTCCACTTCCAGAGTTTCTGACGCAGTGAATCAAATGGATCCCGAGAATATGCATTTCAGACAAGTGTTCTGGATGCTGCTGGTTTTGAGAACCACTGATTTCCTGTAAGCAGCCCTGGACCCGGGATATCCTGTCACATCATACCATAAAGAAGGGCTGTCCTTGTAGCAAATAGCACAAGTCTCTTTTCAATAAGGTCCTGTTGTCGTCATGTTTACAAAGAGATTAAACTATATCACCTGCCTTTTTACACTCTAGGAGCTTCTCCTCTCTTCTCAGTCCTACCCAGTAATAGGGATAGAAGTCGATCCTGGTCAGCTGCTTTGACTCCTGTCTCCTCAATCTTCAGCTGATTTCTTTCATGACCTACTAATGGGTCACAGTGCATAATTTGGAAAACTCTGGCTTAGGCAACCTTAGCCTTTTTAATACATAAGAAAAGTTAAGACCCAGTGAGGTTAAGTGGGGAATTTCACAGTGGGGTGTGTCTAAATTATGAAACATCTCGATTTTATGCCTCAAATTTTATACTTCCGAGATAGTGGAGAATCCATGAAAGGTGTTAGTTGAGGGGGCAAATGACAGAGAGCAGTGTTTCAGTAATGAAATGACCTCTAAGTTTGTATAGAGGCCCCCTGTCCCAGAAACTTGGGCACTGAACCTAGAGCTAGGGCCTTCTATCAAGAGGAAGGCAAGATTTCGAATTTGAAATTCTGTTTGTCAGATGGGTGCCTTTGGGCAAATGATGTAACTTTTTTCAGCCTGTTTAATCAACCTTCCATTGCAAATATCTAGTACAATTGGCCCAAATGAGGCAGTTGTGAAGAAATGGGATGGGAATATTGTAGCAAAGGAAAAAGGAGAGATGGAAGAGCATTGGGGGAAAGGAAGGAGATGGCTGTAGCTCGCAGACTTTAATAGAAGTTCTCTTTTGACCTCCCTGCTTCCATGTCTTCTGCCACTGAAACTTGTTTCCCCTCCCCCAGTTTCTTATCATCCTTTCTTAAGAAATAATAAGTACCTGATTTTCTTTGAGGTTTTTATAAATTTTTCATTTTGTTTTTAAACTGCTTGTGACATCTCACACAAAGGGTTAGAGAACAAGCAAGGGAAAGAGATTCTTCTTCTAGGGAATTATCATTTTCCAGCTTATATGAGTGGACTTCAAAGAATTTGTGTAAAAATTCCATTATCTTTTAATTCTTTTTTTAAAATAAGCTTTTGAAGCTCCTTCATACATCCCAAGCATTCTTTTCATCTAAAGGAAACCTCAAATCTTGTTTTTTTTTTTTCTGACAGTGATGTTCTTGTGAGTTTCTTTGCTCTTTGTTGTCTTTTGTGAAGTTTCTCCAGTTACGGTCTGTGGACCATAACCATTTCCTGGGAACTAGTTAAAATGCAAAAGTGTAGTTCTTATTCCAGAACTACTGAATCAGAATCTCCACATTCAGAAGATCTCCTGGAAGCCTGGTTGAATCCTTATATAGGGTCGCTGTGAGTCAGAATGGATGCAAAGGCAGTAGTCTATCTTATCACCAGCAGTGTGCGATTAGAACTTGAGCTAAGTCTCCTTTTCCATCTGTGGTTCAGGTCAAAATCCCCCTTTCAACTTTCAATTCCTTTACTTCTAAATGAAAGAGACTTGCAGCAGGTTGGGTTGACTCTTGTCTCTTATCTTACCCTATGTGTTGCTAAGTGTCAGCAGTAGGCAGAGAGTGGGCAATAAGAAGATGCTAATTGTATAAACCGTCTTATGTAGATTTAAAATGGCTCCTTGCAATTTGAGAGATTGTTAGTGATTTGTGATACTTATCTCAGAGTCCACATTTTCAAGATTTATTTTGATACATTAATTCCTCCTTTATGCTATTAATTATTATATATCAAATTACCTCACAGTTCCAGAGTAGATTTCTGTGAAGAGTTTTATTGAAATGGTTTTGTTTTAATGTGGAGATAAAAGTAGTTTACAGGAGAGGAAAGTAAGAATTTCCTCACTCTGACAAAATAATGCTGCAAAAATAATTTGTATATGTTATTGTTGGTAAGTTCTGTTGAGTCAGCTGACACATAATGACCCTGCATATGGTTTCCAAGGAACAGCTGGGACTTGCAATTCTAATTGACCTTGTTGTAGTTGTTAGGTGCCATTGAGTTAATACCAACTCATAGTGACCTTATGCACAGCAGAACGAAACACTGCCCAGTCCTAGGCCAACCTCACTATTGTTGTCACACTTGAGTCCATCAATGCTGCCACTTGGCCAATCCATCTCATTGGGGGTCTTCCTCTTTTTCTCTGACCCTCCACCTTACCAAACATAATGTCCGAAGTTTGAGAGGCGAAGTTTGTCCATCTTGGCCTCTAAGGAACACTCTGGCTACACTTCTTCCAAAACGGATCTATTGGTTCTTTTGGCAGCCCATGGCACTTTCAATATTCTCCTCTAAAACCATTACTCTAAAGCATCAATTCTTCTACAGTCTTCCTTATTCAGTGACCAGCTTTCGCATGCATATGAGGTTATTGAAAATACCAAGCCTTGGGTCAGGCGCACCTTAGTCCTCAAATTGACATCTTTGCTCTTCAACACTTTAAATTTAAATTAATTGACCTTATGGTCCATTTTATAAGAAGTGGAAGTTGCCACGGATGAATATTAATGAAACCCTTTTCCTTGCCTTGTGTTTTATTTTACTATATTAGACATTTGATTTACTGGTAAGATAAAAGACTTGACTATGCTTATGGAAATAGTTTGTCTAGTCG